GATCCAATTTCTATCAAATTTAGCTTATTTTAAAACCCTCAACAAGCTGAATCTGGTCGTCTTAGTTTATATTTCTACATAGTTTGGGTAATGTTACAAGCGTGATCATAATTATAATGTAATAATAGCATCATAATATTAATTTTGAGAGTCCAGGAATAGCTATGTTTTCTCACATATAATTCTACTAATTTCTCATTTTCTTTAAGATCATAAAACCTGAAATTTGTATTCTTTCTCATTAGATTTTATTCAACTTTCTTTGCTTCATTTTTGGTATTAAGCCCTGCTCAAGATCTTATGATAATTTTTGTTAAAAATAATTGCCTTTACAATTTTATAATTTCGCTTCTACTGATCATATATTCTTAAATTTTGGTTTTCAGAAAGTCTAGAACTTGTGAATCTAATCATTAAAGTTTAAAATGATTAGGCTAGTAATTTTCATGTTATTCGCGTTCAAAGTTTCATCACAATAAGTCAGATTTTCTTTGTTGGAATTTGTAATATTATAATAATTTCACTTTTGCTATTTAATAAAACCAATTTAAATACTCTTACAGATTTTAAAATTCATCTATGTGACTTAAAATATCTTCAAAATCTAACTCTTTAGGTCAACTAATCTAATTCAAATTCTTTAAAATGCAAGTTTCTTTTTGTTTTGAGTTAATGAGATTCTTTACTTAAGATTAAAAAAATAACCTAAACCTGCTTTTTTAAAAACTTCTGGTTTGTTATCCTTGAAATTATTATTAAGTTACATCAATTTATTTTACATGCTAGTCAAATTTTTCTTTAAAATATATATTTAATATATAATTGATCATTTCTAATTTTAGAATAATCAGCAAATTTATAAATTTCTTGAATGTTAATCATTTGTAGATTATTGCTTTATTTAAAAATTCTATATCTGGTAAAATTCCTGACTAAAATATGAGGAAAAAAGTCTTACTTATCATAATAAACTTAGAACATAAATAACTTAACAACTACAAGCCCAATATTTATGATAATTAAACAATTGAATTCAGTAAGTTCGTAACTTCTATCAAGCCAAAATTCATGAAATCTGATTACTGGATGTGTAGTTATTCAGAAAATTATAAAGTCAATTTTTTTGAATATAATCACGAAAGAATCTGTAAGAGGTTACATTACTAAAGTAGTATAAGAAATGATAATGATCTAGGAACCTACAAAAAACTAGTTTTTAATTTTGAAAATCTAATAGAAGTGAGAAATTGATAGGTTGTTATGTAAGGATTAATAGTTATCCAATAAGTCCCCTAATGTATTATTAGTATTTTATAAGAATTGAAAATTCAATCATCTACGAAATATAATCCAGAAGTCATAGAAATACCAAACTAGTTCGATCAGATACAATACATTGAGAGCTTCAAAATAATTTAAAGTTTAAAGAATTTGGATCACAGGTACTGAAAATAGCCTTGACAGTTGGAAAATTTTACTGTGTTACATCATAGGTAGATTAGTGTAGCAAAGTAAGCAAATGTAGTATTAGCTATTAATTAACAATTTAAAAGAACTAAAATACTTTAAAGACAAATTTGTAATTAATAAATGCATTTTAATAAAAATATCATTCATATTTTAAAAATAGCAAATTGTTTTTTATTATTAATATTAAAAATATAAAATATTATTAAAATAAAAATTGTATAATGATTGCTGTTTTTTAACAAACTCTCTATTATAAAGAACCTTTGTAATTATTTTAACATATCTAAAAAAGAAGATTCTTTTTATTTATTAGTAATCTTTTTTTCCATTTCCTTTTTTTATTCCTGATATTGTTCTAAAATATGTTGTATAAATATGAAGAATTTATTAATTAGCATTGTATTATAACAGTTAAGTCATATAGTTTTATTTTTCTTAACATATTCAGGGAGTATTCTATATTCTTTTGCTCTTTTAAACACAATTTTTATAACTTTTTTCTTAATATTAAAAATTTAGCATAAACTTTAATAATACAAGGTCTCATTAATTTAGTTATTATAACAAATATATTATCTAAGTAAACTTTTTAAAAAAAAGATTATTTTATATTACTTTTGCAATTAGTTAACTTTCCAAGAAATCTAGATGGTATTTTTTTATATACAACTCTTATTTTCTAAAAAAGTACTTTAAAGCATATAAATAATGATCGATTAAATTAATTATTTCTGACCAATCATTATAAAGTTTTCCTATGAGTATCGCAGTATATACAGTATATACTACATTTGCATGACTATACATTCCAACAAAAAAGATTAAAAAAACCAAGTATTCAAATTACATAGTAAAAAATAAAATGTAAGTAGTATGATACAAGATAATAATTATTTATATAACCAATCACATGTTCAAGTTTTTTTGGATGCTTATATATTTAATTTATTTGCGACTTATTTAATTAAATTTTGAGACTTTTAATTAATTTATTTTATTAAATTTTAATCTTATTTGCTTATTTATTAAATTTTGTGGCTTCTAAATAAATTTTTAATTGAATTATTGAATTTTGGCTTATTTATTAAATTTTGTGGCTTTAGTTATAGAAATTAATTTATTCTATTCAATTTTAGGCTTATTTGCTTATTTATTAAATTTTGTGATTTTTAAATAAAGTTTAATTAAATTTATTAAACTTTGGCTTATTTATTAAATTTTGTGGCTTTTAAATAAAATTTTAATTAAATTTATAAAACCTTGGCTTATTTATTAAATTTTGCGAATTTATTCTATCAAATTTATGATTAATTTTTGTGGCATAATTTAATCAAATTTTAATTAGTTTTATTAAATTTTGGCTTATTTATTAAAATTTGTAACTTATAATTTTCGTATTTTATTTATGGTAGTTATTAAATTATAAACTTATTTGCTTTTATATTTAGTATATAATTAAATTTGAAAGTTATATAAAATTGCAATATTTTGCATTTACTTTCATTCATCTTTTTTAATAAAATAAAATGTCTTTATCACTTTCTGCTATTATTTTAAATCAAGAAAATATCTTTGAACAAAAAATTATTTTTAAAGCTGATTTTAATATATTAATTCAACAATATACTGATTCCCTTAATATAAGATTTAAAGAAAAAGCATTTATTAATAAAGAAATATATAATGATATAATTAAAACATTATTACCAGAAAATAATAATATGCTTTTATACAATTCAAAATGGTGTTCTTGTGTTAAAAATAATTTTATTTTAAAAATTATTAGAAATGATTATATTGTATGTAAAATTCCTAATAATCACACAAAAGAAACTATGGAAAAAAATCAGAGTGAAATAACTGCATTATCCATTTTAATTAAAAAAAGTTATAGAAAGAATTTTGTATTTCTCATGCTTCACTTGAACATAGCGATATTAGTAATACATATACTAATCTCAAAACTAAATGGGCTAATATAAAACAAGATCTTGTAGCTAAATTTGTTTCCAGATGTATAACTTGTTTACTTTATAAAAATTCTATGACAAAAGAAGTTGAAGGAAAACCAATTATTGCTAAAAGTTTTTTATCAAGAATACAAGTAATTATTTAATTATTTATTATTTCATTAATTTATTTTATATTATATTCTAAAAGTTTTCTAATTATAGATGGAGCTTATAGATTTTAAAGTTAGAAATGATAGTGACTTTAAATATATTTTACACGTTTGTGATCATTTTTTAAGATATTCTTGGGCAAAAGCAATTACTTCAAAAAGTGCAATAGAAGTAGCTAGTTGTTTATTTGAAATTTTTACAGAAGTTGGATCTTCTACTATATTGCAATCTGATAATAGCAAAGAATTTACAGCAAATGTAATTTTAAATCTTATATCATTATGGCCAAATGTTAAAATTATAAATGGTAGACCTAGACATTCACAATCACAAGGAAGTGTTGAATAAGCAAATAGTATTTTAGCACAAAAATTAGGTGCTTTAATGGAACAAAATCAGTCAATTGAATGGGTAGTAGCGTTAAGATTAACTTTATGGAGTATGAATAATTCTACTTGTAAATCTACTGGAAAAACTCCGTACAAATTAGTTTATAGACAAAAACCTAAAAATAACTTTGTTTGACTTGATATTTTATTTGAAAAAAATAATAATATACTAAATGAAGATGATATTTTAAATGATATTGAAATTGAACAAGAAATAAATGATTTAGATGATATTCAGGTTTATATTAAATTAATAATTAATTGATGAATTATTAACTTTTAGTTAATTAACAAATTAAACATATTTATTTATTTAGTCATCAGTTATAACTACACCAACTATAACTTCTAGTGATAATACGGTAATTTGCAATTTTAAAAATATCTTTATAATTAAATAATAAAATATTAATAATTGATTTATTAGTAACCAAATGCTCCTAAAAAATCAAATAATAATGTAATATATATTTATAATATTTTTATCTATTAAATATTTTAATTTAAATTGAAAAAATATTATTAATTTTAAAATCAAGATATTGTCAATATAGATAATATAAATGATATTAATGATATTGATGATAATTTATTGCATATATCAAATAAATCTTATTCCGTAAGTAAATTTAAAATATAATATTTAAAATTTAAGTTTTTTAAATATAAATATAGGAAACGCTAATTATTAATAAAAAAAAAAGGAAAAGAAAAAGTAACTGATATTAATTTAATAGAAGAAAATGATAAATTAATAAATAGTGATGATGATACAATTATGATCAAAAATAAAAAAGTAAGTAAATTATAATAAATTTTAATTAAAATTTAAAAAATAATTTATATTGTAATAAATTTTAGATACAACAAAACCTAGAATTATTAAAAATTTTACTTCTATAAGTAAAAATTTTGATATTTTTATTGTGAAGAATAAGTAAATGCTATATCTTAGGAAGAAATTAATGAATCATATTTAGAATTATTTGGATATACTGAAAATCTAAAAGCTTTAATTATGAAAAAAGAAATTCTTTCAGCTTTAAAAGATATTAATTTATTAAGAAAAAATTCTCAAATGTATCTAACTGAAGAATTAAATGTTTGAAAGCATAAACTTACTAATTAGTTAAATCTTTATTCTAATAAAAATAATAAGAAAGTAGAAAAAGAAATTGAATTACAATTAGATGAACAATTAGAGGTAATTTATTTAATTTATATATATATAATTTCTTAATTAAATAATTAAAATAAAACTATAATATTCATTATTATTAGGAAAATTATGCAGGACCTTCAAATACAAAATTTTCCTCACATGATTATGTACGAAAAAATGCTGAAGGAAATCTCAAACTTTATAATGCTAGTATGAAAGAAATAATGACACGATCTTTTAAAATTAATACATATAATATTGGAGAATTAGTAAAAATAAAGATTCCAAAAGAAGATAGAGGAAAAACTGATAGAACTCATTTACCTTGTAAAACACTTAATTCTAGTGAAAATGATAAGTATCAATTAGGATGTCATTTGGTATATAAATATTACTCATTCAGTTAGACATTTAGAAATATTAAATACATATATTTCTTAATTAGAAAAAATATCAAGAAAATCAATTTCTCTTAGAGAAGCTATAAGATTACAATCTACTATACAAAATGAATCACAAATACATTTGCAAGTTGTTGAAAATGGTTTTGAAGTAACTTGTAAATGTCCTAAAACAACTCGTGATACTTTACGTTATATATGTAAAAAGTTAAACAGAAAATGTAATTTATCTTGTCATCTAGAAAAAGAATGTTCAAATTTGTAATAAGTCAATTTTAGTAAGAAATATAAAATTAATTTTTAAATATTTTTGTAATAAATATATAAATATTTTATTAAATATGTTTATAAATATTTAAATAA